ATAAGGTCATTGTCGGTCACAAATTCGACTAAGGTAAAGGTATGGCTGAGACTATCTCCCAACCCGTTATGCAAGCGACGCTTAGTGACGTCACCAGAACCGTCCAATTTCCGTAACGTGCCGTGCGTTAACTGCCTTTAAGTATTACAGCTTTTGAACCGTTATAGCCTTATAACCATTCAGATGAAAATCAAGGCTGATATTAATCATCGAAGCTTCGGAGATATTGCCATTATTAACTTGAAACAATGATTGGCAGCCCATCTCGAGGTCATCAGCCCGATTATTGAAAAAAAGCTACAAAGCAGGACGTGGGCACATTCGTTAATTCAGTCCGAGTAAATACCTTTGCTTACTGTAGCGATCCTTAACAGTACTGTTCAAGGAACTGGCTGGCGGTGTTGAACAGATTCTGTACTAGTTGTGGCGTTGGATTGTAACCGTTGTTGGTCCACCAAACTAGCTGAAAGTAAAGGAAGAAAACTAGTGGGTTGAAGGGCCCTGCGGCTCCCTGTGTGACTATGACTTCATTTCCACCCTTTATGGTTCGTGGCAAATGTTGGAATTCTCAGGTGTACTGAACCATACCCACGCTACTGCTGGACACGACTACGCCCATTTACATTCAAGAACAAGGAATAAAACATTCAGTCCTGATCAACCCCCACCATACTTTCTGATTAATCAAGGAACGTAGAGGAAAACGAATGCAATTTAGTCTAACCATCAGGTTGATGTCATACTCGGCGATGGGTGAAATCGCCGAGTGGGCGTGTCTTTATCGACCTGTATGATTTGCATTGGCATCGCGCCAGAATCGCGGCGATTGCACAATCGCCGAGTCTGACATCCGCCTAAGCTGTAACATGCGGAGGCCAGCTGTTCAAAAGCAATGTCCTCTTTGTCTTGAACGAATAGGGTTATCCCGTAGAGTCAGGTTCAGGTTTCACTGTCCGGTATATTTAATCCACATCTAATCCCGTCCCAACAGCGACCACTTGCCACTTCACCACCTCCGATCGTTATTATGTCTACTTGTACCAATGTATACATACTAACTCATATACTTCTCATGAGAAACTTACATTTTGGCTCAGATTCGTCATCGCAGCATATGAAATTGGTTGCTGCTTGCAGTAGTACGACGCCGATGCGGTCTAAAATACACATTCCGGAGGTAAGATAACTGATTTTCAGAGTAAAAAGCAGCTGAGTAGTTAGAGCTCTCTAGACTGCGCCGTGCTCTGCAATTCTGCTAATTTTTGTCAAAGAATTCGAACACCGTTTGGCTTATACTCCAGGTTCCTAGATGTTTCCAGATACCACCAATCTTTTTTTGAGGTCGGAAACTTATGAAGGAGCGATGCGGTTTCTCTAGGTGCTGAGAGTCAAGCACCTGCTGGGAAAGCCTCGATGTAAGCAGCATCGAATTTTACCTTCTTCCTATGTCAAAGGTTTGTTTCCAGAAGGAGGATGAGCATTTTTTTCCATGT